AAACTACATATAAATAAATACTATATTGTCTTAGATAGAAAAGTAATGATAGATAATATATTTTTATATTCATTTTACATATGGTATAAAATAAATGATCGAAACAAAAATATTTTTTAAAAATTTAAAAAAAAAAAAAAAAAAAAAATGTTAAATAAATATAAAAGAATTATATATATTAAAATATTTTTTTCTAAATAAAACTATATTTAAATTCTTCTTAGTAGTTACAACAAAATCCAATCACATTCATATAAATATATATAAATTAAATACCGTACCAATATATTTCCTTATACAAATCATTAAAAAAGTTAAAATTATACTAAAATATATTTACTTACAAAAGTCAAAACTATATTTAATCTTCAAACTCTTTAAATATATAACATAATATCATAAAAGTAATTATTTTTTTAACTGAAAAAGAGAGTTCAAACTGTGTTTGAAAGAGATACAGTTTTAAAATAAAACAAGAATCAATGTGTACTTTTTTATTTATAAACTTTTAAATTAGTAATAATTTCTAATTAATCCGTGGAAACATTTGCACGACTTTTACCAAGTTTCAAGTTTTCATTCTTCTCAATAACTTTGATAATAACAAGAATACACAACCAACTAGTATTAATAAGAAGAAAAATAGACGTTATAATACGCATGTCAAACAGATTTAATTCATTTTATTATAGTTTTTGAAACTATAAACACAATTTATATAGTCTAATTTTATAAATATTTATTTTAGCACTTGATATATAGAAAACGTTTTACTCTACTTATTGTTTTTATTTTCATTTGGCGTGAAAAAATAATAAATTTTACCGAAAAAATTCATAATTTTTTCTATTGTTATTTTTATTTTTTGATAACATAACATCAAGCATAAATAGATAAATATGTTAAACAATTAACTTAAATTAAAGTTAATTTACAGTGATATCATTTCAAAATTAATTTTTATAAATTTGATTTAAAGTTTAAATTTCAGATTTTAAGACCGTACTATCATATTCATTCAAAAAATATTGTTTTTTTCATATTATTATTAATGTTTTGTTTGTTTGAATTTATTCTCATGTGGATGGAGATTGAGAAGATATAAAAGTGAATTTTTTTATGTTCGTTTGAAATTATATGAGGGTGATGTTGGATGAAAAAATAGAATTATTTATTTTTTCTCATCTCTCGTGTTAGAAAAGATAGAAAGAAAATTGGTTAGTTTTATTATATTACCTTACAGTTTTTTAATAACAATAATAATAATATAATTTTTTCATATGTAAAAATTTAATTTTTATTTTTTCTCTTATAAATCTTTTTACAATTATATAAATTAACAATTATAATTTTATATTACTTTTATTACAAAAAATATTTTAATAATTTTTACTTTTTATTAATTAAACAATTTTTTTATTTGTAATTAAATTATACACTAATATTCACTAATTTTATTTTTAAATTTAATTTCACTTATTTCTGAATTATTTAAAATAAAAGATAATAAATTTATTCTCAAATTTCTTCACATATATTTGGTCACTCAAATTTTATAAAGTAAAAACATCCTAAAAGTTTAATTCAAAATAAAATAATAGCAATAAAAAATTTGAAAATGAGAAGCACTAAATCATTTAAAAAAAGTTGATAATTTTAAGAAGAGGGGAAGAGTGGTTAATTTTATATTCCTTTTTCTTCTTCTTCTTCCATTGATCCCTGTAAAAGAGGTAAAAATTCAGTATCAGTTCATGAAAATCCATGAAAGATAAGAAGAAGGGAAAGACAGTGTAAAAGAAAGTAAAAGAGGAGCGCGTGAAGAATGAAGGAGGTGGAGTGCATTTAAGAAGCACACAGAAGTCTATGAGTAGGAGGCATCACAGTCTGATATGAAGTTGAAACTTGAAGCCCTAATATTTAAAACCAAACCCCAAATCCCTATGCAAATTTCAACGTACCACTACGCGACAATGTTCAATTGCAGCCCTTCAATATTTAATTATTACTTTCTAAAACCCTTTTATTCAGATTAGGATGTGATCATATTCACATCGTCATATGTCAATGTCACATAGAAAAAAGGTTACTTCATCAATGGATTTTTTTCATGGGTACCCTTTTTCTTTTCTCCCTTTAACGTTAATGATAATAAAATATTATTTTTTGATAATGGAGAATTGAGAAAGCTGGTGCTGTAGCCTGTGGAAGGTGAGTGGTGAGAGAGTACACTTTGAGTCTTGAAATTGAACTTAATTGACTGTGTTAATGCAGAGATAGAAAGATAGATACATATAGATATATATATATATAGAGAGAGAGAGAGTTCATAGTTTTTCAAGTCTGTGACTTTGTACTTTAAAGAGATCAACACAAGCAAAGGGTGATGAAGTGGAGGAGTGTGAGACAATAGTGGGGTACCACTTTCAGTTTCAGCTTCTGTTTCAGATTGAGAGTTTCTTCTTAGCTTTTAAGTACATACATATGTACATGCACAGCTTTTGGTTAGTACCATTTTCTTGTTCCTCGTCACTTTACTGATTTTTCGAGGTGTCTTTCTCTCTTTTTACTATTCCTTCCTGTACATCTGCCTTCATTCTCTTTTTCCATTCCTGTTAATTTATGTTTTTTTGGAAAAAAGTATTTTTTTTTCTGGCATGGTAGTGAATCTGAGGTTGGTCTTAGATAGAGGATTTCTTGTTATGTGTAAGGCAGAGACAGGCTTGTGTTTGCTGATGGATGATAAGTTATTGTTGTTTTTGGAAATGACTTTGTTTCTTGTTTCTGTGAATATTCTGGGAATTAACCATTTATGCAGAAGCTTTTCAATTTTGGTATGCTTTTTATGCTGTTAAAAGTCTTCAAAAGAAACAGTTCCTTTTCTTCCCACTCCTCACTTTTCTTTTTTCTTTTCCTATATTCACAAATTCATTTAACCGTTCACATGCAATCTATCTGTCTATTTTGTTTGGTTGGATTGCTTTGTAAAGATTGTGAAAATGTAGAAGATTCCTAGACTAATACTTTTTAAAGAAATTTGTTAACTTTCTTATTATTGGTATATCTTTATCAGTGGGTGAAACCCACAAAGGGAACTTCTTGCTTTCGATGACGTACCATACATTGTTAAATCTTTAGGAGTTTCTGCATGGCATTTCATATTGTCTAATTACTTTGCTTCTAAGTCTGTTTAC